GGAACTGAGCTAGGCGGCCTCACAGATACCTCCGGTACAGCTCCTGTACACAGGTGGCTATGAATTTGTCCCACCTGCCTGTGGTCCAGTGACCTGACATTGGGGCCAGTGATAAGTGGAAATCTCTGTGTCGCACTGACATCTGTATTAAATATTCCATCCTAGAACTCCCTCCCTCCCTCCCTAATGTCAGATCATATGAGTTCATGAGGTGAGAACACCGAGTCCCTGGCAACTCCATCGACCTTGGCACAGGATGCACATCTGGAGCTGAAGACAAACCTGATTTCAGGGCGATAGGGAACTCCCACCCATGACGCAGGCTCTAATTTCATTTTCTAAGTGGTGCCCTTTATGCTAAGTTTTGACACTTCTCATTGAGAGGAACAAGAGACAACTAAGGGTGGACTTAGTTGCGTTGCTCCAAAGCCGACTCAAGAGGAAAACCTATGTGTAAATGATGCATTAAGGCAATGCTCCCAGCAGAAAGAGACAATGGAGTTGGGGTGCTGGGAGGTAAGGTAAATTTCCCAGGAGAGTGTGCATTTCCAGTCAAAGAACCTGGTGTTCAGCAGCTTAAACCGTGGATGTGGATGAGGACGAGGAGGTCTGGCTCTCTTGTGGCCATGAGAGGGACTCTCAAGACAGAAGAATAAGGAATACAGCAGAGTTCACAGTGCAATGAGGACATGGAGACAGAAAAGTCCTCACAGGGTGGGAGACCATGGGACAGAGAGTTAAGATCAGACAGAGGTTACAGCAGCCACTGGAGAGAAAAAATGGAAGAGAAAAAGCAGTGGGAGAATGAGCTGTCACCACAGACAGAGAGAAATAAGAAGTGAGTGCAGCTAAGGGTCATAGATGTGATTACCTCTGCACCGTAAGCATGAAGGCCAGGGAATCCACTTGCTGAACCGGAGTTTTCTTTTAATCATCTTGGGTTTCAAAACACTTGAGGCATGAATGTGGCCAATGACATGATGCCCTTGTGTGTTGTCCACTGAGCCTTCGAGTGTATCATCTTCCAGCTGCGGAGGGTTCTTCATCACAACAGAGGGCTCCAAAACCATCTCTGAAAACAAAATGACAGCCAATGGCATCCACTGGCATCCATTATCTTACTGTGACTTTCTCTTCCATCCAAAGGACATCAAATCAGGAATGCGACCTTGGACAAGAAAGTCCAAAGTGTGAGGGGAAGCCAATAGAGTGATTTTAATATTTTCTTTTTGTTGACCTTTCTTCCATTACTCAGTAACGACAAGTTTGTCAGGAGGCTAAGGCACTCCTGATTCACAAAAATATTCAAGAAACACAGGATTAAGAAACACAAATAGCTTCCAGGTAGATAAGGAAAAAGTAAGGAAACCCCCGTATATGTAGTCTGTGCTTTGGGGAGAGACGAGATTATAAAAGTGAAAGTTAAATGAGAGCTGAGTTCAAACAGGAGATGGGGATGGAAGGGCCTGGCAGGGTGGCAGCCCATGGGACACAGAGGTGATACCAGACAGAGGTTACAGCAGCTGACGAGAGAAAAGAACCGGGGAAACCTAAACCTGGAGAATTTACAAAAGTTGCATCAGTATAATGCCTATTGCACATGCATATACACCTTATATAGACTGCACACCAAATACATATAATATATGTGATAAATGACATAAATTTATATATCCGTACATAATCCAATGAAACGATATTATACAGGAATTTGGGAGATATGGAATGTAACATTATAATCACTATTCTGGTTTACTGAAATTGGAAAAAAAATTAGAAGCATGAGAACAATGAGGAAGAAAAAGTGTGGGAGAAGCAAATGAAATATTAGACAGCAGAGAAATCACCAGCTGAAGGAAAACATGAATGAGACAAAAGTATTCACTCTGTCCTCTTACCTGGAGCCTGATTCAGGTGCTGATCTCCAGGGAATGTGAGTAAGAGAGAATGTGTATGAGCCAGTGACGTGAGTCTTGGCTGGGGTGTGAGAATCCATAAAGAAGCAAAGGAGATTCCAGTGGGAAGAAATCAGTTTAAATGTTGTCATGGCACCTGTAAGGGATTGCTTATCTCCCGACAACCGCTGAGCACCATCCCTGCGTCCACTTCAGGGAACCAGATGGTACTCGTTATCTCACATGACCTTCCTTCTTCCTGAGAACAGGGGTCCCCTCATTCTACAGCTGAGGACAACGCCAGACGGATGAGCAGCAGGCAGCCCCAGGGTCTCTAGAAGGTGATATTGACTGGAATGGAGAGTGAGAATGAGCACTATCCAGGGTTTTAAGGAAAAAAGAGCCAAAGTGGATCCCTGTGAGATGGAAACTGAGGACATGGTTGTGCACATGAGTGGAGATGATGAACTAAATGGATTTTCATAAAAGAGACTCATGTGAATACTTTCTGTGTGAAAGTTGCCCTTTGTTACGAAAAAGAGCCAAAAATAAACAAACAAACAAACAAACAA